AAATATTTGCAAATGATATGACCAGTAGGGGGTTAATATCCAAAATTTATAAACAGCTCATACAACTCAACAGCAAAAAACCCCAAACAACCCAATCAAAAAATGGGCAGAAGACCTAAAGAGAAAATGTTCCAAAGAAGACTTACATGTGGCCAATAGGCATATGAAGAAATGTTCAACACAGTTAATCATCAGAGAATGTAAATTAAAACCACAATGAGATATCACCTCACACCTGTCTGAAAGGCCATCATCAAAAAGGACACAAATAGGGCTTCCCTGGTGGCGCAGTGGTTTAGAGTCCGCCTGCCGATGCAGGAGACGCGGGTTCATGCCCCAGTCCGGGAAGATCCCACATGCCATGGAGCGGCTGGGCCCATGAGCCATGGCTGCTAAGCCTGTGTGTCCGGAGTCTGTGCTCCACAGTGGGAGAGGCCACAACAGTGAGAGGCCTGTGTACCACAAAAAAAAAAAAGAACACAAATAATAAATGTTGGCAAGGATGTGGAGAAAAGGGAACCCTCATACATTTTTGGTGGGAATGTATATGTATGTATTTTTGGTGCAGCCACTGTGGAAAACATTATGAAGGTTTCTCAAAAAACTAAAAATAGAACTACCATATGACCCAGGAATTCCACTCCTGCATATATATCTGAAAAAAAATTAATTAAAAAAGATACATACACTCCAATGTTCATAGCAGCATTGTTTACAATTGCCAAGATATGGAAGCAAACTAAGTGTCCATCAACAGATGAATGGATAAAGAAGATGTGAGATACACACACACACACACACACATACACAAACACACAATGGAATACTACTTATCCATAAAACAGAATAAAATTTTGCCACTTGCAAAAACAGGGATGGACTTGGAGGATGTTAGACTAAGTGAAATAAGTCACACAGAGAAAGACAAATACTGTTTGATATCACTTATATGCGGAATCTAAAAAATAAAACAACAAAATTTGCTGGTCAATTACACTGAGGCCCAATCTCATTATATTTGGGAACAATTAAATTAAAACAGTAATAATATTTCACTCTTATTATACTGCAAAAATTAAGAGACCAAAAAATTCAAAAAGTTAACAAGGATGTGGAAAACCAAGAGCTCTCACACACTGCCAGTGGGAATATTGGTTACCCAATCACATAAGTGGTATAGGAAAGCATATACAGCCATGCCTAAGATCAAGCATTTCCACTTTTAGGCATATACCCAAGAAAAGCTCTCCATAGGTTCACCAAAAAACACATAAAAGACAGTCACTGATGTATTGTTTTTACTGGCATAAAGACTGAAACAATGTACATGTCTATTAATAGAAAATAGGAGAAGAGATAAACATCCATTGTATTTATAAAATTCCATTCCATTCGTACAATTAAATGTCATATAGGAAGTATAAATATGTTTAAAAATTATGCTGAGCAAAAACAAGCAAGTTGCAAAAGAGTTTGTAGTACAAATATAACTTATATAGACTTTAAAAGCATAAAAACAAATTTTATTTATAGATACAGATAAATACCTATGGGCCAATAAATATTCATAAAAATAGTACCTATCAGTACATGTTGGAGTCAGGGAGGAGGAGAAGACAAGATGGCTGAGAAGGATCTGAGCTCACCCCTTCTTATGGAAACACCAAAATCACAATTAACTGCTGAACAACCACTGACAAAAAAATGCTGGAACCTATCAAAAAAGATACCCTACATCCAAAGACAAAGAAGAAGGCACAAGGAGACAGTAGGAGGGGAGCAATCATGATAAAATCAAATCCCATACACACCAGGTGGGCTACCCACAAACAGGAAAATAATTATACCACAGAAGTTCTCCCACAGGAGTGAAAGTTCTGAGCCCCACATCTAGCTCCCCAGCCTGGCAGTCTGGCAATGGGAGGAAGATCGCCCAGAGAATCTGGCTTTGAATGCCAGCAGGGTTTGATCATAGAAATGCCGCAGGACTGGGAGAAACAGAAACTCTACTCTTGGAGGGTGCACACAGGGCCTCAAGCACACTAGGACCCAGGGGAAAAAAGCAGTGACTTCATAAGAGACTGGGCCAGACTTACCTGCTAGTATTGGAGGGTCTCCTGCAGAGGTGGGGGGCAGCTGTGGCTCACTGCAGTGATAAGGATTCTGGCAGCAGCAGTTTGGGGGAGTACTCATTGGCATGAGCCCTTCTGGAGGCCACAATTTTCTCACCAAGACCTGGACCCATCCAACAGCCTGGAGCCTCCAGTTCTGGGATGCCTCAGGCCAAACAACCAACAGGAGGGGAACACAGCTCCACCCATCAGCAGACAGGCTGCTTAAAGTTTTCCTGAGTAAACAGCTGCCCAATAAACACACCCCCTGACACAGCCCTGCCCACCAGAGGGACAAGACCCAGCTCCACCCACCAGTGGGCAGCTACCAGTCTCTCCCATCAGGAAGCCTACACAAGCTTCTTAGACAGCCTCATCCACCAGCAGGCAGACAGCAGAAGCAAGAACTACATACCTGCAGCCTGAAAAACGGAAACCGCAATCACAGAAAGTTACACAAAATGAGACAGCAGAGGATTATGTCTCAGATGAAGGAACAACATAAAACCCCAGAAAAAACAACTGAATGAAGTGGAGATAAGCAACCTTCTGGAAAAAAAGTCCAGAATAATGATAATGAAGATGATCGAGGATCTTGGAAAAAGGATGGAGGCAAAGATCGAGAAGGTACAAGAAATGTTTAACAAAGACCTAGAAGAACTAAAGAACAAACAAACAGAGATGAACAATACAATAAATGCCATGAAAAATACAGTAGAAGGAATCAATAGCAGAATAACTGAGGTGGAAGAATGGATAAGTGAACTGGAAGACAGAATGGTGGAAATCACTGCTGCAAAACAGAATAAAGAAAAAAAGAATGAAAAGAAAAGAGGACTTCCCTAACATGGGAAAGGAAAGTGTCACCCAAGTCCAGGAAGCACAGAGAGTCCCAAGGAGGAAAATGCTGAGACACATAGTAATCAAACTGACAAAAATTAAAGACAAAGAAAAAATATTAAAAGCAACAAGGGAAAAGCAACAAATAACTTACAAGGAAACTCCCATAAGGTTATCAGCTGATTTCTCAGCAGAAACTCTGCAGGCCAGAAGGGAGTGGAATGATATATTTAAAGTGATGAAGGGAAGAACCTACAACCAAGAATACTCTACCCAGCAAGGCTCTCATTCAGATTCAGTGGAGAAATCAAAAGCTTTACAGATAAGCAAAAGCTAAGAGAATTCAGCACCACCAGATCAGCTTTGCAACAAATGCTAAAGGAATTTCTCAAGTGGAAAAGAAAAGGCTGCAACTAGGAACAAGAAAATTACGAATGGAAAAGCTCACCGATAAAGGCAAACGTACAGTAAAGGTAGGAAATTACCTGCACACAAATCAAAACCAGCAACTGTAAGAGGAGAGCACAAATGCAGGATATTGGAAATGCATTTGAAATTAAAAGACCAGCAACTTAAAACAATCTTGTTTATATACAGACTGCTATATCAAAATCTCATGGGAATCGCAAACTGAAAATCTACAATAGATACACACGGAAAAAAGAAAAACGAATCCAAACACAACACTATAGTTAGTCATTAAATCACAAGAGAAGAGAAAAAAAGATGAAGGGAAGAAAAAACACCTACAAAAACAAATCCAAAACAAAATGGCAATAAGAACAAACATAAACTTCATGGAACAGCATGGAGGTTCCTTAAAAAACTAAAAATAGAACTACTATATGATCCAGCAATCACACTCCTGGGCATGTATCTGGAGAAAACCATAATCCAAAAGTACACGTGCACCTCAGTGTTCATTGCAGCACTGTTTACAATGGCCAAGACATGGAAGCAACCAAAATGTCCACCAACAGAGCAATGGATAAAGATGTGGAACATATATATGATGGAATATTACTCAGCCATTAAAAAGAATGAAATAATGCCATTTGCAGCAACATTGATGGACTTGGAGATTACCATACTAAGTGAAGTGAGTCAGACAGAGAAAGACAAATATCCTATGATATCACTTATATGAGGAAACCAACAACAACAACAAAGATACAAATAAACCTATTTACAAAACAGAAACAGACTCACAGACTTAGAGAACAAACTTATGGTTACCCGGGGGGAAGGGGAAGGGGGAGGGGGAGGGGGAGGAACAGATTGGGAGTTTGGGAATGACATGTACACACTGCTATATTTAAAATATATAACCAACAAGGACCTACTGTATAGCACAGGGAACTCTACTTAATACTCTGTAATAACCTAAATGGGAAAAGAATTTGAAAAAGAATAGATACATGTATATATATATAACTGAATCACTTTGTCATACACCTGAAACTAAAACAGCATTGTTAATCAACTTTACACCAATATAAAATAAAAATCTTTTAAAATATGTTGGTATCAGCGGCATAGGGAAAGGGAATGGGGTCAGGAAGGATTACACAAGTACTTCAATTGTAAGCTAATGCTTTATTATTCTAAAAACAAAACCCAAACTAGTAAAAATTTAATATTTGATAAATTTGGGGGTGGGTACACAGGTATTCATTATATTGCTTTCTAGAACATTTTTATGTGTTTATAATTTTTCTTAAAACAAACAAGAAACTCTAAAGAGATTCCAATAAGATACACTGAGAATTTCTCACATATGTTAAAATAAATGCCAACAAAGTAGAGGTTTATAAAAAATGTTTATCATTTCTATTAACTGGAATCCAATAAAGAAATTTTTAACTGCTCAATAAGATAAAATGTTTGTGATAAGTTACAAAAATAGTTTCAACTTACAGAATTAATATATCAGAAATCTTAACATTAACTACATTTTTATAAAGCCTAATAACAATTATTTTGTGTGGAGAGATGAGAAGAAACTAAAACTAATAATATTTTTTTTAAATAGAAGAGCACACACAATACCTTGGAGGCACGAATCTGCCTGTGAACATCCGTTATTTGTTGGATTTTGTATTCTAGCTCTGAAATCTGGGCTTGAAGCCACGTCCAACGGCTGCCAACTCTTGCTCTGTCTACGAGCCACTTCCATTCAGTACTACAGTTACTGTGAACAAGACAAACACAGTTAGTCAAAGCACAAAGACAATCAAGTTTTCACAGAGATTGCTTAATAGTTTCCTTGACTCTTGTCATACAATCCCAAATTACTTTATAAAACATCTAATTATATGAAAGAAGAATGGTATATCAACTTCTCAAAGATTTGATTTCCTTATCTTTCTATCCCACAAACACCTGTTTTTATTCAATATTGTGTACTCAGTAGTAGGATAATCTCCTTGCTATTTAATACTTTATTAATGGTCAAGGGCTGAAACAGAAGTAGGCCAGCAAAGGAAAAGAAACAAGAATGACAATACTAACACCATGTAAAAACTGTTACATGAGCCTTTTATAATTAAGTAGATGTCAAGTATAGGACAAGTCATTTGAACTGTGCTAGATCTAAATCCATGTAACAAACCATAGAGTACTCAATTTTACTAAATGTAATTTTCATTTGCTAGAACAGGAATCAATTTTTTAATGTCAAAAATTATCAAAAATATGAATGCTCTGCTACATTTCAATAAACATATCAAATATATAAATCCTGAGATGTTTATTAAGATAAACAGCTTGTTAAAAACTTTATTCCTAGGATTCACAGCTCAGAGATGAGAAAGAATTTATATACAGCCTTTCTTTCATGCACATTTGAAAATAAGGGTTGAACCTTAATTAGCTCCTCTATCTTTTGGCAAGGGCACTGCTCTAATCCACAGTTTGTGAGATTACAAATTAATTACCTTAAGAAAATATTTCAACCACTCCAACTAGAAAACAATCACTTAGAGTGATGGGGGGAGGAGAGGGAGAGAGAGAGACACACACACAGAGAGAGAGAGAGAGAGAGAGAGAGAGAGAGAGAGAGAGAGAGAGAGAGAGAGAGAGAGAGAGAGAGTTTGTGTGTGTGTGGTGTTTGGGATAATTAATTAGGAGATTCATACTGCCAAGGAAGAAATTGAAGAAGGCATAACAGAAGAAATTGAAAGTACAACTGAAGAGAAGTAACTACTTAATGGCAGAACACAAACTTCATGAAAAACTTGTCTAAAAATTGCATTTATTGTCAAAACCCATAGAACGCACAACACTGAAAGTGAACCCTACCTAATGTAAACTATGGACTTTGAGTAATAATGATGTGTCACTGTAGGTTCATAGATTGTTACAAACTCACTACCTTTGTGCAGTATGTTGACAGTGGGGGATGTCATATCTGTGTAGGGACAGGGGATATATAGGAAGTCTGTATTTTCCACTCAATTTTGTTGTAAACCTAAAACTGCTCTAAAAAATAAACTTTATTAATTTTACACATTTAACCATAATGAAATATCTTTCATATAAACTTTAGCCAAAGAAAACATTTATGCTAAGAGATCATTTGTTGTCAGAGAAACAGAATTATTGTAACTCTACTACACAGAATTTATTCATTATAACAGATTTTATGTCAATGTTCTCAAAAGCCTTTTTTTTTTCAGATTCTAATTACCTACAATGTGACTGCAGAGACTGCCATATAAATTAGGACTTTTCTTGGTATTATTATTCAGTTTATAGTTATTATTGTGATTTTGTAAATGTGACACTATTTTAAATCACATTTTCATAACTATGGACAAAATAAAAAATGCCTATTCAAAATACACTATTCACAGTTATAACAATACTAACTACCAATCATGAAATTAATGAAGAAGGCAAGGACCATATGCAGTAGTTGCACAGGTGAGGGCAAAGTATTGGATTTTATGCAAAAAGGAAGTTATTGGAGAGATAGTAACAAATTTTTTTTTTTTTCCAAGCACTCTAGCTACTAGGTAAAGAAAGCATTGTAGTGGAACATGAGAGTAAATAAGGAAACCAGTTAGGATGCAACTATAATAACCTAAATGTGGTACAGATAATTGTGATCTCTAAATATTTCATGTGCTGTCCTACATTTCCCAGCCTTCACTGCACTTAAGTTGGAGCCATGTGACTAGCTCTGACCAACAGGCTGTGAGCAAAAGTGATAAAGTCATTTCTATTCCATCTGACCAGCTTCAAAGTCACTGTGCAGATATTATAGCTACAAGATGGAAGAGGATCACAGCTCAAACCACACTGGACTTTACTTAAGCCACAGTAAACCTTTGCTGTGCAAAATTACTGAGATTAGAAGGTTAATGTGTTACTCTAGAGCTTACTGTGACTAAAACAATGAATAAAAGATGAAAATGGTCTGGACTGGAAATGGGGTAGGAGATAAAGAAGAGATGAAGATACAAGGATTGACTCAAGGTTGATTTTAAAGTAGATAGACGTGAAGAAGTATGATGTGGAAGTAAGCATGCGGAAATCAAAGATGACCTTAAACATTGTTTCATTAAATTTTGCTCCAGTCAGAAAATTTCCCTATAACATGCCACTTTGCTGGGTTGTCAAACTGATTATTAGCTCATGGAAAAAGAGAAAAATAAAAGTTTATGGAGTTGGGCCTCCCTGGTGGCGCAGTGGTTGAGAGTCCACCTGCCGATGCAGGGGATACGGGTTCATGCCCCGGTCCAGGAGGATCCCGCATGCCGCGGAGCGGCTGGGCCCGTGAGCCATGGCCGCTGAGCTTGCGCGTCCGGCAACGGGAAAGGCCACGACAGTGAGAGGCCCACATATGGCAAAAAAAAAAAAAAAAAAAAAAAAAAAAAGTTTATGGAGTTAATGTTATTGTACTTCTAGTAAAAATACTGATACTGACACTAAATTTACAAAAATCATTTTTATGTTCATATGTGACATTAAATTATCCTAACATAGAAAAAGTAGTAATATCAGATTTAATTTAAGTAAACTAAATAATACTGGGGCTTTGTAATAAGTGAAATGAATTTTCTGTAAAGAATACCTTATTCTACATTTTAACAGGAGTAAAATCTGTTTGCTATGCTTAAAAATGGTAACCAATCTTTTCCATCAAAAATGTTCTCTTGCTTGAAAAAAATGTCTTTCTAAAAAATAACTATGGCTGTGAACATGTTACAGATAAGTATATGGCTCATTCAAAGGAGATTGACACCTGTTGTACCTCAAACACAAAACGTTTTATGTAAACAATTTATATAACCAATGATGTAATGGCTTATATCTTACAGTGTAACCAATCAGAACACAGCTGATGCAACAACAAACTAATAAGAATGTGAGGCAAACCCAGAGTGTCTAGACTCCTCAGTTAGTATATAAGCCTGGCCTGCCAGGCCACTAAGATTTACTCCCTATATCTTTCTGGAGTGTGTTGAACTGATCAAAGACCAACACATGCCCTGATCTTCACTGGAAATAGGAGCCCCTACTTCTAGTGAAGATCAGGGCAAATACATCCATGAGTGGATGCCACCTGGGCAGTGAGACTAGTCAGTCCTCAGAAAGGCAGCACATGCCTTCAATCCTCATCCTTACTTGTTTGCAGTCACAACTTAACTTACTGATGGAAATAAGTACAAGCTGTTTAAACCAAGTGGTTTTCAGTACAATTTCTCTTCATACTAACTTCTGGTCAACATCATGAATCTACATCACTGTTTTGTTGTTGTTGTTGTTGTTTGTTTTGTTCTCTCTCTACATCACTGTTTTAACCTTGAAGTGTAGTTTGTTCCTCAGAATAAGACAGAGCTTTCTAATATTATACCTTAAGTTACCAAAACTTAAAGAAAAACTTGTATAATTTTCCCTTTAATAGAGTTTGTTAGCTTAGTAATAAAAATGAATTAACTATGATTTAAAAAATAAAAAAATAAGATCCAACTGTAAAAAATTATAATTCCAAGAAAAATAAGTTTTATCCTGGGGAAAATAACATTAAATTAGGCCAAACTTCTCCACTGGTGTTTGCTCACCTAGGAAGAGCTTAGCCTTCCCTGGAATTTGATTCCTTTAGACCAGGGGATAGCAAATTTTTCTGTAAGGAGGCAGACAGGAAATATTTGTTTTGTGGCCACAGGGTCTCTTTAATAACTACTCAACTCTCCTGTTATAGCATGAGAGCAGTCATAAATGAATGGGTGTAATGATGTTTCAATACAACTTTGTCTACAAAAACAGACAATAGGCCAGATTTGGTCCATGGGCCATAGTTTTCCGATTCTTGATGTGGAACTGTTTTCATATGCTTCCTATGCTTCCCAAGGGATTATGACCTCCTTTAATGAAGTGTCTTTTTAAATCTTTTGCTCATATTTAATTGGCTACCTTCCTGTTCATATAAAACTGTCAGACTGTATGTATTGGAAATACTTATAGCTCCCAATCTGTAGCTGGCCTTTCATTTTCCTAAAGGTGTCTTTTGAGCAGCAAAAGATTCTAATTTTGATGAAGCCCAATTTTTCAAACCTCCCTTTTATAGATAGTTCTTTTTATGTCCTAAGAAATATTTGCTTAACATGAAGTCATATTTATTCATGTTTCTAAAATATCAAAAAGTTTTAGTGTTTTTACTTTTAGATCTATAATCCAATTCAAGTCAAGCTCTGTGTATTGGTCCAGGTAAGGGTCCAGATTCATTATTTTCTATAGGATATCTAGTTCCTGAACCATTTGTTGAAAAGATTCTATAATCCTTTAATAGAAAAAAAACCCAAAACTATCCTTGAATAGATAAAAGACTATCTATATGAATAATACATGTTGTATATACACTTACATACACACAGAGAGCACTTAGGATATCTATCATCTATCTACCTACCTATGTCAACACCATGACCCAATACGACACTATTATTGTAGTTTAAAGTAATTCTTAAAATCCAGTAAATTCTTCAGCTTTGTTATTTCTCAATATTGTTTTGACAATTCTAAATTTGAGAATCAGCTTGTCAATCTCATAAAAAAAAAAGCAGCATTTTGATAAGGATTTCATTGCATCCATGGATCTATTGGTGGAGAATTAACACAACAATGAATCTCCTAATCAATGTATAAGGTATTATTTCTCTGTGTATTTATGTACTGGTAATTTCT